TTAAAACAATTGTCCGTTCTGCTAACTTACTCCGATAGTCCTCTCTGGTGCGCACTTTATAATACTTTTCTGCGTTACATCTTCTACAGGCCTCATGATTAAGGACATCCCGCGCCGCGCTGTCGTCACGTAAAGCTACGTTCTAAGTACCTTCGCATTGTGTAAGGTGCGCAAAATTATCTTGAAACCCAGAAGCTGATACTTTTTTTTTGTATACAAAAACAAAAAGCGAAATAATCTATTTATATTTAGAGCTTATGTTGATTTGTTGTCAATATAAGATGTAATTCTCAGGTTCAATCAACAAAAGCACAAGATTTGCCAACAAGCTTGATAGAAAGCGTGTAAAAATTATTTTTATATAGCTCAAGCCCTTTTGGTTAATACAGAGTTATACATGAAGACACTTTCTCCAGTGCTACTTACCAAGACGCCCCACGCTTTGCGCTCTGGAGAAAACCGGTTGATTTTTCTGATTTTAAACTGGCTCCCTTTGGTTTGTTATAATAAACAGATAGCCTTCCCTATTTTCCTCGAGGTAATAGAAAACGACAGAGTCCTAAGGAGCTCTTTGGAATTGCGCGTTTGGTGTCAATATCAATTGAGACCCGACACGACCTTGCCTCAAATCATCATCTCATGCCCTCGGACGTTATGGCAGGCAGCTAAACCACGGATTTAAGAGTCCTTCCAAAACCTACGATCACAGAAAGGCCACCGAATTACATTGAGAGAAGTAAACAAACGTTAATCTATTTCATCGCCATAAACAGTATTTGCAACCGAGTGTATTTACCATTTAGAATTCCATGAGTATTCTGTTTTTTTTTTTACCATTACATCATTCTGTTGAAACTAGTCCTTTAACAAAGTTTCAACATCAGCACCGTCACCTCTGTCAAGTAGAATCGGACTCGAGTGGCTTGCAGGCGCCTGTTCAACTGTGTCGTGAATATGCGTAGGTGCGGGTCCTACATTGGATAATTTCAGAACGGCGAAAGTGAGTAGATCTATACGGGTTGTATTAGGCTCTCGCTTTCAAAGAATCAAGTCCATTCCCCTTTCTGGCATAAGTACGGCACGAGGCCATGCGACTGAATGAGCTCCCTGTTAGGCTCAAACGTAAAACGAGCATTGCAAAAATTCATTTAAAATCAATTTAAGGTTCGCCTAAATATTCACTACAGACGCCCACATACACGAAGCCAAAGAGTGAGCTGAATGTATCGTCGTAGCAGTAGATTTGTTCATTTGCTTTTAGCTGTTGCCATGGGGCTGATGACCATCGACCTGTGTTTGAACAAAATTTGCAATGGCCTTTTCCATTAAACGTACTGGTATTATGTATCATGAGATTAATGCTCATGGTATACAGTTTATGTAATTCTGTGCAGCACTTTTATTATAGACAAGTGATCTGAAGTAGACGTTGTAATTCGACTGTAAAAACTAAAATATAGATCCCAGTCATTTTTAGGGTTAAACGTTGAGAAAGGCACAGTCACACCTAGGACCCACTCATAGTCTAGCCATAACAATCAATTATTTCGTTGTTTAGCTACAAAATATAGATAAACTTAAATAACGAACGAAGTAGAATACGTGGTATCCAAACATGACGAAAATTGTCTATTGTGAATTTTTGATAACGAAAAAAAACAGAGCTAAGTTATTCAAACCATTGACAGAATTGACGACGCGCTGATAAGGCATTTATAAAAGTTTCAAGATACAAAACAGGTTAGGTCGCGGACGAGGCCTAGCTACTATACACCCAGCTACGTTTCAAGCTAAGGTAGACCCCATTCTGAGAACACAGAAGTCCACAGTGAGGTCTATCACTGGGTTTCTAAAAACGACTCACACAGTTCAACTTTTTAATCACATAATATTTACAAAATGCTCAAATTGTTCGGTAACTCTAAGCTTGAAGTTATGAGTTGCGGGGCCAATCTATTCCGCGGCTCCATATGGTACAAAATAGACTATAAGCTCTCAACGTTGTGATATAGTCGTAGAGCTCCTTATACAATCACATTAGTACATCTATACAATGCAAGGCCGGCGAATTTGTTCGAATAGCCTATTTTACATACTATTAACGAAACAGTACAGTATCAAAAAATGACAAGCGATTTCGGTGATTGCATTATGGCTCGAAAAAAAAAACAGCTTTATAAAAGAAATATTTGAGATAATTAACGAAGCAATAAATCATATTATTAACTAATACCTCTCTCTAAAACTGTAGAGGTTACTGCCAGAATGGTTTATATTGTAGCTACATTGAACGTATATACATTATATAGTTATATTATCAATAAAGATCTATTATTAATAGTGCAGTATTAAGTGTTCTATAGTTTTTGACACAGATATAAGTGTGTGTTTGGGTACAATCCTTACCCCTATGTGTGCCCCCAAAGATGTGAAGCAACTATAAAATCATTTCAGGAAATGCGTAAGAAATAGTGATTATTATAAAATAGTGATTCATCATACATTTAAGACCATATAGTTATGAGAAATAAAGTATAGCTTGTTTTGAATGCGTTTCAACAGGTTTTTTTGTTCTATAGTAAACACGTTTCCTAAGGACACTGGCAGACAAAGCCACTTCCCACATAAAGCGTGTTAAGCTTTTCTGTAAATTTACAACGCCTTCCTTTCGTAGTGTTACGTTTCTTGGCGGCTATATACAGCATGCCGCCATTGGTTTTTGTATATATGTATATATCGCCGAGCGGGTCGGTTTCAAAAGACCGTTATATTTACCGACTGTCTAGCTGAATAAGGTTTTTAGGATATGGGTAATGTGGACAATTTTTCCGCTTGAGATCGCTCATTTATCGCAAGCGGAGCAGCTACCACGTAACACCTGGTTACGTGGAAGAGGACGACCCCTTCTAAATGACTAGCCGAGTATTTCAAATAGAACTGCATTAAAGGGTGGATTCGAGAGGCAAGAAGTTGAGCTGGGTCAAACCTGTTCTGGTGAAATCGGAAAATTATTGTTTGGCGAATATTTGGCAGTATAAAAAGTTCAGCAAAAAAAAACATGTAGAGTTAATTGAAATAATGCTGTTATTACAATGAAAATTAGTCGTTTTTATGCTGCTAAACCATCGTCGTCTCGCATATATTATTAGACGCTTCGAAAGATAGAGCGTCGTGATTTTTGTTCTCGGGTTTTTCTGTTTAACCACTCAGACTGCATTACCTGATATTAAAAGTAACAGAAATAGTTGCCTATTTAAATGTAATCGTCTCCCGAAAAGGCCCCAGTAGCCCGGGTTATGACAAAGAAAAAGGGGTATATGTTTCTTCGGCCCCAGCATTAGACGAAATCAGCTGTTTATCGTGTTTCTATTATTCATAATATGTAAGACAACTGCTAACGGATTCAATTCAATTTTGTTTCAATCAAATTTCAGGTACTCTAAGTATATGATGCCAGATCACCAGATTAAATGAAACATTTTGAAGAAACAGGTCAAGATTCCGGTCATCATATTTCATGTTTATTATAGGATTTTAATGAGGTCTTTAAGGGAGATTTAAGTAATATATTTTTCATTGTACACTGAATTTTCACTACGGGTTACCCGCAATACCCCACGTTAAGTTAAGGAACCGCGTAACGTTCTCATTGAAACATGCAAATGCGCCAACCGAAGTGAACGTTAATTGCGCCAAACACTGAAGGTGCCTATTAGGGTTTATTTTGATATTCTTCTGTTACACCGGCACGTGGAGCAGAGTTGAGTTGAATAGGTGTGGCTAGAGACAAATAACAACAGAGTATTTATTGAGGCCTTTAGCGATATAAGCAAAATAAGGATAGCCCAGAAGACAAAATCCGCCAATTTACACTGTACTACAGCTTCAGCCAACTCCGTAAAATTGTCGGCTAGATTTCATACTTAACGCTTGATGATGCGTTTTCCCAAAGTGAGGTAAGATTAGTTGGAGACTCTGATGATGATGTGGTTCTTAAGGACGCGTCAGTAATCTAGGTTCAAGAGTGAAGGCAGCCACATTTTGGATCATGACACGCGTCAGAAAACAGTGTCTAAAGCCAACACTGCACAAGGATCTACATGGTTTCTAGTTGTCGCAACGAACAACTATCTAGCGATGATCTCATATCCCACAAGATACGCAAGAATGATTAGCCTTGCTTGAACTTAGGGGCTAACTAGAACGCATAACGGATGCTATTTTAAACTATGTGTTCAGCGTAGAGACTCTTATCGGTCCACACCCTTATCTAGTGAGATAACAGCGGAGTTTATGGGAGAAGGCGAAGTTCGCAGGGGCTGTTATCCGCGAAACTGCCACTAATCTCACTTTAACCCAAATCATATCACAAGCAATATATCAGTGGTCCAAATCATATAATCTCGTATCATAACGTAGTATCGTGTAATGGGATCTTTACAAACACAATTTAGCTATACAATATTATGCTCAGTTTTTCCATTATAAGAGCAAATTAATTGTGTAGTAGATTTAAATAGCTCGATTCTAATGCCCTATCAAGGACCTATTCGACCCGTTTGTATTCGTATCATAATTAAGATGCATTTACTTTCCTATAATTTAATAGCCTTTTTTAATCAGATTACTGGTAAGTCGGTAGGAAAAATAAAGTGTCCACGTGAAACAAGGTCCATACTGATATTGTAGCCGATCCGCCTTCATTAGAAGTTCCTCTTCATTTCCGTCACAGGCATACAATCCGACAAGTACGAGTACTCCATATATTTTGAATCGTCAGGATCACGCTCCTCATACCTACAATACAATGTACTATGCATGACGCGAAGAAGAGTATTTAATGTACTTCTGTTGTTAAAAGTTTTATTTTCAACAATAACTACCACGACTAAGGACATACTTGCTTGATCTAGATCTATTTATTTAGCTTCTTTGTAATATATATATATATATATATATATATATTATATCGTCATACTCCATATATATATATATATATATATTTGTTGACTATTTTTCAAATATACTTATGTGTTTATATGATTATATATGTGCACCGCACCTGCTTACGTAAGTCCTTAATACTGCTCAGGATAGAAAGCCTTCGTTCGACTTTTTCAGCATTTCTATCATTCTTATCATTATTCCTTGCATTTTCTTTGGCAGATTCATCACTATTCAATATTCTGCTATGTATATTATGCAAGCGTTTTAACATAATTCCACGCATGTACTCGTATCTTCGAGGATTTTTAACGAAAGGAGTTAAGAAAGCTTAGGAATTTGCTTGATTTAAAATAAACACTAACTAGGTAGACATAGTTACACGTGTTTGAGGGGCTTGACAAACAATTTTTTTATCGCAGTTCGCCTGCATAGGTGATATCTATATATGTGATTTGAAAACACCGCACCTTCTTCTCTGTGATGTTTGTTAACTTCAATTAAAATCACTTGATAGCGTTCTTTACGGTGTACGCGGTTAACGATGTAGTATGACAGGTTTTACTTAAAGTTTACTACCGTCCAGGTTGGCGTAAACATCCTACATTGACATTTGGCCCTTTTGTATATGCCCTTTGCTTGGTAATAGTAACTTGAGAACTTTTTCAGCTTATGTAACTTGGGTGCTTTGATATGAGGGATCATTTACAATTCGCGGTGGTTTCGGCTGTGGCAATTGTTCTCTGTGCTGTCCCCGTTTGAACGACTGCGTTGAGTTCTCGTTGTATGATCGCTAGCTCCCAGTTGGTGTTTTGAATATGTCCCGCGATCTGAATCCATATTGGATTACAACTTTCTTAGGGTTACACTATATTCGGGTAAAATATCAGTCACCTCTTTACTTCTTACGGAACTTCTGCAACCATAATGTTATTGCAGGTCTTTTTATTTTGGTCGCGTCGTAAACGTTTTCGTTGCATAAACTGGCCTTTCGAGCCTTGTATGTGACATCCACGATCTTGCGCTATCTATATTCATTCGAGTCTCTGTTAGTTAGTTTTTTCAAACATTCAAGCGTTGTTTTTCTTCATCATTAACCCAACCAGCTGTTGGGAGAGCAACCGAGATATATTTTTATATGATAGGGTAGTTTAGGGTAGTTGACTGTAATATATTTTTTGTAGCGATAGTGGCGACGTCATGATCCTGGTGTAGCTGATCTCACCTTGGCTCGTTCGCACAAGCCATAGCAGCAGTAGTAGCAGCTGCTGATACGTCCTATTTTACGTCTGCAGGCTTTTTCGCTGACACAAGGCTTCTCTTGAAGCTACTCTCGTCTGAAGCCAGCTTGTAAAGCAATGTAGCGAGCTGCCTGTAGCGTATCATGCGGATATTATGTGGGCTTTGTACCGCGTACAAATAATAATAACTGTTGTTAATTAAGCCGATCTATTACTTTTAGGGAAACGATCTGTTCATCGTAATAGGGAGACGGGTCAGCACAACTGCACTTAAGTTCTATTGTATTCAACGCTGGTGTCATCATTGCCATCGGTATCGTCCGTCACCTTTGTCGTGGATCACTTTGCGCTTAGGGGAGACGCTCTCTAATTGTACATCAAAACTTCAATGTTAATGTCGACTAATGAATAATGCCGTTTATAAACAAACTTCCCAAGATCGTCAAAGTTGCACTACATAGTGATACATTGCGATAATCCATTTGTATGGTTAATCTGACCTCTCAAGTCGACAAACACCATCGAATCGCCGTAAAACGTAATATTCAGAGCTGTAAGCTGTCTTCGTTCAGGCAGCCGTGTCCAGCAATGATCTATATAAATGCTGCTTTTGTTGTTCTCTACCAAACCACCGACAATAATGCAAAATATCCGATAACGAACTGTTAAAGGCATGCTGCAGGAGGTTAGTTCAGCAGGACCGAAATGTCACGCATCATTTCAATAGAGTAATAGCTACAACAAAAATCTATAAAGTTGTGGCAAGCTATGGGGCAAACGACACGTCGTTCGATTCAACATTAGATTATTTTTGGTTATTAATATTTACCCTTTTGCGCACTTTGATTTAGGGTGGATATGCACCGTTGGCGCCGCCATTTTTTTTTTCTGTCATTGAATAAATTGAGCTACAGGATTCTTCTCCTTAAACTATGTAGCTTCGGTACAGAAGTTAATATTCCATATCTACATATTCGCTTGTACCTCGTCTTCGTCGCATACCTCGTCACTTGTACGCGGGTACTCTGATACTGCGACTTTCTGTGTTTCCATGCGGCCCCGGTACATTATATAAGGTAAAATTAATCACTAGAGTAATGTAATAATACCCTGTTTTTCAATTATATATTTCACCTATTCCCGGCTCCCGTCACCGGTACGAAGTGACCGCTTCTCGATGACGTCCGCAGGAACCGTTTTCAGGTCGTATGCCTGGCCACACCGTGCCATGAGGTTAATGAAGGCCGTCGTGAGATTGAGCTTCATACCAAACTCGCTAGTCCGATAGTCGTACGGGAATGTATGGTGAAAGTTGTGAAAACCTTCGCCGATCGCTGCCACTGTGACAAACGTGTTCTCTACAGGAGATATCCATTTGTTGTAGGGCTTGGTACCCCAAAGGTGTGCGGCGCTATTTACCAGCCAGGTAAAGTTAAGCGAGATGACATAGCGCGCCATTGTGCAAGAAAAATAGGCCACTCGCAGGCTTTCGCCTAAAACTAGCGGAAGGGCGGTTGATACACCGAAGCACCAGAAAGCCGTCAGTGGTATATAATACTTCCGCTGGAACCGTACGACTGGATCATCGAGAAGATCGGCGCAACTGACACTGGCCCCTTTCCGAATCACGTCTGGGTGTTTCTTACACATGAGCCAACCAACATGAGCAAAAAAGAAGCCCCGATTAACATTGTGCGGATCGGCGTTCGTCTCTGAGTACTTGTGATGAACCCGATGATCTCGACACCATTCGTAGATGTCGTTCTGACACGCCATACAGTTGAAGATCATTAATAATATTCGCAAGGGCGTTCGTGCCTTGTAAGACCTGTGCGACCACAACCTGTGAGCACCGGCTGTCACCCCAAGGCCGGCAGATATACCCCAGGCGATAGCAAATAACCATGATTTCCATGTAGCCTCTACGCAGGCTAAATACATTCCGTAGAAGCACATTGAGTGAAGAACAATAAATACCAATACATTGGGGAACCACACTATACGGGTCTGAAAATTGATGGCAGTCTGATAATCATTATTTTTTTTGGTGTTCTGACTAGACTTTTCCTCTTGCGTTAAATGCTGGCTTTCATCGAATTCGTTCTGGTCACCACGGATGGACTCGTCTTCTTCATGATCATGTGAGAAATCATTAATTTTTCGCTCCGCGCCTCTTTCGCGCTGCATCGGTCTCACGACTTGTACTGGACGCGGTCGTAGCATCTGCATTTGCGCCCTCGTGTGCACCATTCTGCCCCTGAAAAAAACAGGCGATGAAAAGAGTTACAGTGAAAAATCACTTATGTTCTATGGTATTGCTATTTCATTCAGTACTTACGTTTACATGATGACCTCATGCGTATGGTGGAGTCCTCGAAATAAATCGACTTTTTATTGCTATTCCTGATATCAGAAGAAATCATTCTCTTTTAGAAACAACACCTCCTATGGTAGCGGAGGCCAGGCGTTTATTTTCCAAATATGAGGAAAAACAGCTGTTGTTGAGTATCTTCGAACCGAAAAAACTATTACTAAGGTAAAAACATTTATAAAATATGAGATTGCTTTAGAGCATTATGCTTTCATGCTTCAAAACATAAGATCTATGATAGGAATAAGGGTAAAACGGTCCAAACCTGATCAAAATGAGCAATTCAGGCTGTAAAGATAAGTTTAGTCTTTATACGTTTCTTCTTTTTTGTATACAATTTGCCCTTTTATTTTTTCCTCGGCTTACTGGCAACACAAGATTTAGGTCCGCTGGATATTCTGTATGAGGCAAGTTTCAAAAGAACGTTGGCAAAAGTCAACGTACTGTTGTTATTTCGCTTACGACTACTATTAAAAATGTGTTTTAAAATTTAAAGTTGGCATTTGACGTGGCAACCAGTCTATGAGCAGTTTTAGCTTTGTCGAGGGCCCGTAACAATACAACTGAACGATGGGCGGTCCCATTGAATAAATACGTCCATGAGGAAAATTTCAGTCGGCAGATGTAAAACATTTAATTATGATATCTCCTTTCGTTTCTATGCAGACCGAGACAGCAATATCAATCTTATCCCAGTTCATACCGAGCATAGTATGTGTACAACCCACTGAACTGCAGTAACTCCTATTCTATGTTTCGAGTTTTAGGTGTGCTATCGCCGTTAGGTATTTTATCAGACCGCTGGCCCCCAGGACGAAACGACGTCTGACTATTATTACAATATAGCCCTAAGACTAGCAGGCAAATACGTTAGCTACTAAGCTATCACGCGGACCAGTGACCCTTAATAGTAGCTATCACAGTTTCCCCCTTTTCTTGCTCAGTAAGCTGAGTTTGGTTTGTTTCGTCTTTAAATTAATATCTTTGTTAATATTTACATAGGGAACCAGAAAACTGTTAGCGGCATATATGACTTTGACACTCGTTCTTCAAAGAAAGGAAAACAATCTCATAATAAATTAGCGACCTTCTCTTCTACAATCAGCCTAGTCGACTTTCTTTTTCTGTCGATTTCGTACAGTTTCCGAAGCTAGATTTAGCGTGTACATATTCCGCTTGCAGAAAGAAGACTGAGAAATCGCAGCTCAAAGATCCAACACCCTACGGGAGATGACATATTGAAAACGTTTGTGTCGGAAGGTAAACCATTCTGTTTCGAAAAACGGAAGTAAACAATTAAAGCCGCTTCAATAGAACTGGTTTGGCGCGTTGCATACATCCAGTTCGATGTACGTACCTTATCTATCAGTGTCTTGCGAAAAGAAGCTGAAGCAGCTGTAGCAGTCGTTGCCGTCCGTTTATTCACCTAGCTTTACACATCGCCATATGCAGCTGATGAGAGCCATAAACAAAAGAAAGAAAATGGAGCAGGTGGGAGGAATACGTCAAAGGCAGAAGGCCGCTAATCCGAAATGCAGTTGGGCTCACCGTGCTAGACCATAGGTCCGGTCTTCTGGCCGGAAAAGCTGTTTGAAGGCCTGTATTTTCGAAGAGGAGCCGGGACCAACTAGGAAACAACCGATTCCGCACCCGGCCAACTGAGCCTCAGCGGAACAGACCTTGGGCCTACGACTAAGACTAATATCATTTAACCCATCTGATGGAACAAATAGAGGCAGCGCTAATAGACCACCAGTTGCGCTCTTTCAGTTGCCCTCAGGCTGTCGGCCGGCCGACGTCATTTAGGCTAAACCAGCCTGGGTGAGCAGCCTTGGTGAGCTTGAGCTTCAGATTTGTAAGGTGGCGGCGGAAATATAGAAAAACCTGTTATTGCAAAAATAGGTTAACAAGGTAGTGATAGCAAGAAACCCGATTAAGCTAATTCGTGAGAGGGACGTTCATTAGGCATGTGTATGTTGGCGTCTGTACTTTTACACCTGGCTATGTCACTGTATGTACTTTCGAGAGGAAAATGCTAGACTACCTAGCTAGAAATAATCCTATTATAAGAAAAAAAGTACTACTTTGACAACTATTTTATCATAGCCTTGGTTCCATTACATTGGTTCCCTTCAAGCAAGGCCCAGTTACCCCACAATGAATGAGTGAAGGCAGTTGGCCCACATAGTTTTCGCACTGAGGTTCCCATTATAGCTGCCATTGGAGTAGCCACCCGCCGACTTTCTCTAGTGCCTTCATTATTGCCAATAATATTTCCCTCGTCCCCGACGAAGTTCTCGATTACGCGCGCCACTTCGCCACTGTGGAGTTTCTCAAAATTTCCTACAATATTTTTCATTTCCTTTAATTCTTCATTCCCACATTCCATAATGCTAATTCGTTTATTCTCCACACTTTACACCCCCCAGTATCCGTGTTTATATATTTTATTCGTTGCCACAGCGAACCAATAGAGTGAAAGATCACTGCAATCATTGATTAACGTTCGCAAAACACATGTCAATGTGGCTTCGAGAGCATCAGTAGCAGCACCATAATCAATTTAACGCTCTCGATGGCAGCGTTTGGTAGTCGCCAGTGTGTTTACGTGACTAACTGACGCAACTTCTTCTATCAGGAAGCAGTTGTAATGACGGTGGTGTATATGAATGTGTAGCAGCCACTATAACAGCCTTCTCCAAAAGTGTCTTACTTGATATTCTACGTACATAAGTATATCAATAGCCATGTCGACATGAGGCCCTTCGCGTGTTGACCTCTGGTTCTTCCTGGGCTCCTTCCTTTCCAGTCCCTCCCTTCCCATCACGATAACAGGAAGCCGGGGTGTCAACGAAAACGATTTTTTCTTGCCTCTATACCCAAGACCTTTCTATGCGTTTGTCCAACCACTCGAACATCGGTAATACTCAACGTTGCCCAACGACCAGAAAAGAATTCCTGCCGTGTTTCTAACTTCGTTTGCTTACGTGTCCACCAAATCCAGTTTGTTCCTGTCTTCCGATGCCTGCTGGCAGCGTCTTATAGTCGCTCGTCGCGCCATTCCCCTTCTTTCAAAATACTCCTGTCGCTCTCGTCAACTGGACTCTCGCCCGCGTGCTCCAGCCACTATTCGTAGCAGCATCGTCAATAGAAGCAGTATCGTGCCAAGGCTGCACCAAGACAGCAACTTTACCCAGTAAAGCTTTCAGCTAGCCAGTCCTTTTTTCCTGTGAATTTTTTGAATGGTTCGCGACGCGCTACAGCGAATGCCGCAGTAGTAGCGGCGGCCCATTGACGGTAATGGAGACAGCGGCTGTTCCGGAAACAATCGTAGTCAACGGCTGTTCTTCCTTCCGCTTTAGTAGTCAACACGGTAATCGGTTCGGCGCCAGCAGTTTGAAGCCGCACCAGGACCGCGAGGACTATGCCAACCAATGCCTCTCCTGAAGGACACGTACACACGTACTCTGAACGGTCGATCGCTACGATGGCTATGGACCGGCGGGTTGGCAATATCAGCTGTTGTAGTTGTGGACGGCGTTTGCACGCATGTCTCTTTAGCTATTGCCGTTTACATGAGTTCCTCCATTACAAAACGATGCTTGCATTCGCGAAGCCACTTGCCACTACTTCTACTAAAGCCGACCAATAAAAGAGAAACATACAGAAGGGCTAAAGGCAAGTGAGTGAGTATTTTTTTTTAATGCAGAAGACGTCTGATAGATGCAGGAACTGCCATTCGTACTGAAGGCGAGTGTGTATGTAGATTTAAGGGATTGATGTGCCAGTTTCGCCCACTTTATCTTTCTCACTTTATGTATGAACGCAAAACGGTTACACCCACTGACTATTATAACCCCTATGGCTAGCAGTACAGAGCTACTACGTTTTGGTGCATTGCACTGTTACCAGTCGGCTTGCGGAAGGCTGACAGCAGCCTCCTGATACGATATATGCCTTACCCATGTGTTGCAATGCTTTTTCAACTATTACCGCTGCTGCGATCGCTGTTAAGGCAAAGAGTAACCATGGGTCCATGTCTCATAGCATAAGTATACGCGCATGCGCATCGATCATATACGTAAGTACTCTGGAAGTGCGAGGTTACTCTGCGGAGGAACCGTCATAGATTTATTGGTCTGTTTGTCTTTTTTCTAACTGAGCAACAACGCAGGCAGTTGTAGCAGCGGCAGCGCCACAATAGTCAGAATAAGGAAATACATCGGCTGAGGCGGGTCGTCCATGACAATGGCGACCACACAAATCACGAAACTAAGAGCGAAAACATAAACTTGGCTGTTGATGAGGCTGCAAGCATTAATAAACGCTCGAACAAAACAAGTAATGGGAGAGGGTTAGCGAGGCCTCTTACGAATAATGACAGCATTTATTTCGGTAGTTTTCCAGCCTGTCTTATCTTCAGCCCTATTTGCAGCATCTGTGTCCTTTCTCGTTACTTACTTGATACTTTGCTATCGCTAAACAAAGCTGCCCATAGCCGCGCAGCCTACGTACTCGCCAAATACAGATTACTAACACGAGATTGTCTGCAGGGACTAACTACATACGGATACATTACTGCTCGGAAATGCTGAGGCATGTTTTACGCTTTTTTTTCCTTATCTTCTGTTTCCCACATTTATCGGAGCAAATACTCGGCCGACTTTGCTGTCTGGCCGGCTCTTAGGTAAGGCCTTGTTTTGCTCTATTATCCGAGGCCTTAGTCCTTGTCTAGCACGCTAGTTTGCTTCCAGCCGAAAGTTGCTGCCCAGTAACTAGCAGAATAAAATGCTGCTACAAAAAACACCAGAGCGTTCCAGCTTTACGGCAGATCCTGGTAAGTGATAGTGGTTAGGGGACTTAAGGATCGTTAATATCGGAGGTGC